TCCCGCTCCCGCGGCGCTGCAACTCGGCCGAGCCTCCTTAAAACTCTGCCGTTAAAATGGGGGCGGGTTTTTCAACTCAAAAAGCGCTCAATTTTTTTCTTTTCAAAAAAAGCTGATGAGGTCGGAAAAAAGAGAAGAAACCGGCACCATCTCTGCAGAGGCAACAGAAGCAGCAATTGTTTCAGCGAAAAACAGGAGCGCGAGAGGGAAGGAGAGAAGGAAAAGATCAGAAAGAGGGACGACGCGCAAGTGCCTGTAAGGGTGAAGGGAGCGGAGACCGGCGATTCCGGGGGACTGACTACAAAGAGACTGTCACCGGCAGCAGCGCTGCGCCTGGGGAAGCAGCGAGCCTCCCGCTCCGCTCCAGGACACAGCTGGCTGGCAGCCGCTGCCCTGTCGGCGGCACAGGGGGACCGCGGACGCCTGGCGAAGTGGCACAGGGCGCCGAAGCTGCTGGGCGCTCGCCAAGAGGGCGGCGGGACTGGCTGCGCCCTGGAATTGCGGCTACTCCCATCCTCAGAGGTTGGCCTGTGCCTCCCGGACCCTCCCAGCTCCGGAGGCGCCCAGAGAACCGGGCACGGAAAGGAAAGACGGCGGCGCGGCTCAATGAGTGCCTCCAGCGGAAAGCCTGAGCGAGCCCAGTAGTAGGCGGGAAGTTACCGGCGAGCTGCCCCATCACTGCAGCTGCGATGTTGCCGCGAGCTGCCCCAGCAGCCCGGGCCCCCTAGACGCTTCCCGTGTCGCTCGAGCTCGTCCTTCGGCTGCCGGGGTCCGGGGACCCGGTGGGGCCGACATGCCGGGCTTGCCAGGGGCCTGCCGCGCGCCCCGCAGCCTTCGGAGACGGGCGCCGAGCCCGGCTCCCACGGCCGAGCGGCGGGGCTGCGGCAGCCTAGCAGCCGGGCTCCTGAGCCTTGCAGCGCAGCGCTAGCCCGCGGCTCGGCCCGGGCGGTACCGCAGCTGCTCCCCTGAAGCCGAGAGCGCTGGGGAGTCACTAGGACCTGTAACTTCAGGGCCACGAACTGCTACTCCCATCTGCCTTTGGCGATCGTCTTTAACCCCCGGAGCACGTCAGCATCTAGGCACTGCGGCGCTCAGCCTGCAGCACAGAACTCGGGACTACCCCTTCGGCGAGGCGGATGGAAACCGAGCCCCTCGGAGGACCTGCCCCCGAAGTTCTGGCCCAAATCTCCACCGTGATCAAGGGTGGGTTAATCCCCCCTCCCCCGTGCCTTTGCTTCCGCAGTATTTCTGCCCTGACCCAGTCCCTTAAGTCTTCACTCGCATTCCTCGCGGAGGTCTGCAGCGTAGGTACGTGACAGCTCTGCCTGCATCTCACGCCCAGAGTAATTAACGAGGAATGTCTGTGTGTCTGTCTGTTGGATCACCAGAATTCTTCATAGGGGTTAAGCTAAAAAGCGAAGAGAGGAGCCCCTCTCCAATGGCTCAGTTTTGCTGAATAATCACGTGTGAATCGAGGGGCGGGCTTTTGGCAGGCAGATCTTACTAGTATTTACTACCAAGCTCTACTCCAGATTAACCATCCCAGTCGTTTCTGTCAGTCTCCGATGCCATCATGCAGCCTAGTTAGGAGCAAAGGAAGAAGGAGAAAGAAAAACAACTAATTCATCTTTCCCCCCGATCGTCAGGACCCTGAAGAATGGCCGAGCCGTGGGGGAACGAGTTGGCGTCCGCAGCTGCCAGGGGGGACCTAGAGCAACTTACTAGTTTGTTGCAAAATAATGTAAACGTCAATGCACAAAATGGATTTGGAAGAACTGCGCTGCAGGTTAGTATACAGAGAGGTGGGAAAAACAGGTTAATATTGTTGCCTACCTGACGCGAGTTTCTAAAATGACAGCTTTTAAGATTTCAGGAATACAGATTTTCACTGTTTTTAACCTAGTTGGTTGCCATATTTTATATCTTTAAGTGGATCCAACTCCCCAAAATGACGTACTTTGAACAAACTCGTCGAATCCAGTAACATCCTCGATATTAAGAGGACTCTAGGTTTGGTCTTAATTTTTGGAATGTTTTTGTGACGGTGGGGATTTCTAAGTAGTCATAGCAGTGCCGAGGTTTGTTTTGTTTTCTTTTGCTTTGTTTTAGACAGTCCTGTAAACACATTATTGTGATTATTATTTGAAGGTAATACACTCCTATTAGTGGTTTCATGTACTTTGCCCCTAATAATTGACTTCAATGTTAATTTTCTTAACTACTAACAAGCCCCCCCCCCAATTCTTCACGTTTTGACAAACGACCTTTCCTCATTTGGAATGGGTGGCCTGGGCATGGGGACAGGATGTACATTTCACAGTTAATATTAATACCTTCTACCCATTGAGGAGTGAGAAATAAAAGGTTGAATTTTATAATCAGAGCTGAGCTGTAGTGCTTTTGTCCCTATGGTCTTGCGGTGGTGTGCTCTAATTTTTCAGTAATTAGATTTACAGGCAACAACTGACACATGTCCAGCTGCCAAGTATGTACCTGATAGTTTTTTTTTCTCCTCCAAACATTATCATGTAACTTAGTTGAAAGGCTCAAAACCAGAAAAATGGTAAACTAGTCTCAAATAGTTGCATTATCCGAGTTTTGATGATAGTCCTGTGAGGTGTTCTTATTCGGAAGCTGTTTATGAAAGCTGAAGAGAAGGCTTTTTAAGTTTGGCTTAAAGGGCTTGGTTAAAACAATTAGAAGCTTAAGTGACCAGAGATATGACAAAGTTCATATAGTCTGTACATATTGAATCAGAATGCACTGGCCTTGCAAAAATTTCAGTATTAAGGAAGCTATACATAGATGCTAGATTACTTATATTTTTTCGTGTGGAATAAGTAGAGAAAGTTTATTTTCTTTTTCTACCAAGAACTTTTGAACAGGTATGGTGATTATAGTAATGCCATAAATTTAATATGTTGGAAAGTTTCCTATTGAAAAGTCAGAAAAGGTTGTATCAGTCTCACAAAGCATGAGCCACTTCACTCATACTGAGAATAAGATCTTACAGGACTTCTGATGAACAGGAAGAATGGACAGTTAATACTATTTTTTTAAAAAGGTTTGACAAACCTTTTACTACAACTCTGCAATCTTGCTTATATTAAACATACTTATCAAGATAATAGCACTTACTGTGGCTTAGTTTTAGTACACACAATGAAACACAAACAGGAGTCTGAAGGTTTATTTTTCAGTATGTATATTCCTGACTCTGAAGTTGTGTCATAAGAAAAAACTTTTTTCAAAACTATTTCTAATGTTACTATTATTTTCTGTGAAAGATGGAAAATTTTCTTCTATAATTATGTTTATTTAACACAATTACAAAAACTTTCGCTTTCTAGTGTAAGTTTTTCAATCAGGATAGTATCAAAGGCCTTAATCGTACATTTGTTTGCAAAGAGCCAAGGTATTAGTCTCTTGTTTTTCTTAATTCTAAGTCCTTAAATGTGACCAAGTCTTTAGAAATAATGGTGGCAAAATTAGGATGTATTAATTTATAATAACCAGAAGTATATCTCATTGAAGTTCTTAAAAAATAATGTGTCATTTTTACTACTGCCCTAAAAGAAGGGCTAAAAGTTCACAGTTTTATCATCGAGGAAACTTAATAGCTTGACCATCTATGCACTTGCATTTCCAAAATATTATTCATTCTAAGTATATTTTATTAATTTGTGATTTTTTGTGATCAAAATTTTAAAACAAACATTTTAAAGAGATAAGTCAGCTACGTATGTATTTTCCAATGGATTATTATTTAATTTAATAAACATTGAGTGTTTTGTATGCAACCTATGTATTATAAATTTAGGTAATTGTGAATATACACAAATATAAATACATCAGTTAAAATGCTGAACATTTCTGGCATGTTGATGAGAGTAATATTTTTCACAACTAAATTATATATCTGTTTCATAACTTGCATGCTGTTCTGCAAGACATTTTTAATTATGAGATTAACAGACACCTTTATTAAAGTGAAATACAATTTAACAACAGTAAATAAGTCTTTGTGATGTAAATTATTTTGTATGTTGGTAAAAAATGTTAATACTACATTCTGACTTTTTAAATATTGTCAGTTTCCAAACAGGTATTCCTAAATGCTTATAGTAACTGCAAAAGGAAATGATAGAATACCAGTTGATTGTTAAATGGGCTTAAGCCCTAAAACAAAGCTGTCTGTGCCCCAAAACACACATCAAATATTTTACGTTTTTCTTTTGTTCATTTGAAAATCAAGGGGTTACTTAGAACTTTGAGAAACAGTAATACAGGATGAGTGTTTCATTCTTTTCAAGAATTTTTGTTCTACACTCATTTGCTATCTAATACAAGGCAAATTATGAATTCAGTTTTAGATCAATTGATATAATAAGCAATATAGTACACTCTGGTTTATTTAATGCTTTAATAATCAGTAACATTCTGTGATTTAAAATGTATTCTAAGCAGTGAATATATCTAGTAGTCAACATTCAAGAACTTACAAAGAAAAAAGTATTTTTTAAAAAGCATTTGGAATTTGGGGCTATACCTATTTGGAAGGAATTTGTGAAAAATAGTCATTTAAGAAAATATTAAGTCTATATTTTTAAAAGATCAGTTTTACACTCAGCAGCACTTGTTTGGGGTTTTAAAGAAATACACCATTCTCATTTGTTTTTGGTCGCTATTTAGAAAACAAATTTTACCCACATTTGATTTTGCAGAATTAATACCTCAGCACATTTTATGAGCATAAAAAAGGGAAATAGACTCTTAGATCACAAATTCGGTTTCTCTTATATGTATTAATAAATTTATGAAAGAAACTACATAACTCTTCATGGGAGATAAAGAACTGAGTTGTCAGTGACATTTATACAAGTTGCATAAATTTTATTTTATTGATCAATTTATCTAACTTCTGGGCCCATTTAAGATATTCTACTAAAGAAGCTCAATTTTTGGAAGTTTTCTGCTACTTTCATTGACCAATTCTTTCCTGCAACTGAGCTATTCAAACCTTATGTTGGAATCTTCCCCAAGCACACCATCAAAAATAGTCATTTAAATAGGACAGAGAAATATTTTAAAATATTTCTGTAGCATGAGCACTTGAAGGAGTCTACTGTTTTTACTTCTTTTCTAGGTTATGAAACTTGGAAATCCTGAGATTGCCAGGAGACTACTACTTAGAGGTGCTAATCCCAATTTGAAAGACCGAACTGGTTTCGCTGTCATTCATGATGCAGCCAGAGCAGGTTTCCTGGACACTTTACAGACTTTGCTGGAGTTTCAAGCTGATGTTAACATCGAGGATAATGAAGGGAACCTGCCCTTGCACTTGGCTGCCAAAGAAGGTCACCTCCAGGTGGTGGAGTTCCTTTTGAAGCACACAGCCAGCAATGTGGGGCATCGGAACCATAAGGGGGACACAGCCTTTGATTTGGCCAGGCTCTATGGGAGGAATGAGGTCCTTAGCCTGATGGAGGCAAATGGGGTGGGGGGAACCACAGATCTGCATTGAGTACGGGGAGGGCTTTCTCACATTGCCTCTGCTTTGTGGTTGGCTGCCTTGACTATTTTAATATCATTCCTTAAGATAGTTTTTTTTTTTTCATACTTTAAGCAGCTAGTTAAATCTTCTGAAACTGCGTAAGTAGAATTCTTACTACAGGTTTATGGATATATTTAAGCAACATTTTTTTCCCAGTGGCAAAAATCCTGATTTCTAACATGTAATTGAGAATAGCTTTGCTTTCTTCTGAACATTTTATCCTACTTTGACTTTTTCTTTGCTTACCTTTACCCTTTTGCTGATCGCAATATCCAACTTGAAGGCTTTGTTTTTAAAATGGTTTGCGCTGATGCTTCTTTTGCCTAATTAAAATACATTTTCAGAACAGGATAATGTTTTTCTGTGATTTTCCCTCTTCTGTAACCCATACACAACTTAATACAACTAAGAACTGTTCTAGAAGTTCATGTTTTAAAACTTAGAAAGGTAGACCATTTGGAAAACTAAATGTATTTTGTTTATAATTCAGTTATTCTTTTCTTTCTCTCCCCATCCCACCGCACACGTTTACTTGCTGCCTAGTATTTCTGCTTTAAAACAAAATAAGAGTAACATTTTTTGAAGATCAAACCTGAAATCATCTCTGTATGAATTTCTCCAAATGTTCAATCTTCCATTTTTCTCAAAGTCAGATCGTTGAAGTTTCATAAGTAGTGATCTGAAGACAAATATGTATGAGCTCTGAAGCTACTTTTTAAAAAACTATCACCTTAAAAGTACTTGCCATTAGTTGATTTTTAAAATTACAAAATGAAACAATTAAGTAATATATTTCCCAAAATTGTACCATAAGTGTACTAAGTGTAATGCCTTTTTCTTTCTGAATGTCAGAAATGTAAAATTACAAAATGTTTAAGGATTAAAATAAAATGTAAATTGCAATTTTTAGGTGATAAAAGACTCAGCAAGAAAAAATGTATAAATTACATATAAAGGTCATAACTGTTTTAGGGTATACAGAATAATGGATGTATAATCTTTTACAATGAATAAACAAGCCACTCTACCATATGGTACTTGACTTCCACAAAACATTTCTGTCAGGAGTTTTAAATCTTTTATGGAAAACTGTTTAGCTAAAAAAAAAATTCAAATGTTGAAGAAAACAGAAAGATCTGAAATATCCAGGGAGCTATCCCTACATCTGCTACTTACTCTGTCATATTAAAGATTGTTACCAAAGGATTTCACTGCAGTTAACCATTTTAAATTTAGATACTGTATTCATTATTTCCTACATGAACAAAGATGTTTTATGTCAAAGTCCCCTCCTTCTGCTTTGCATGCTTTCTGCCCTCCCTTCAAAAAGAACAAAATACTTCAAGGTTTATTGAAGGGCATGGTTCTGATTCTTGCCCTAACAAGAATTGGAATGGTTGCAGGCAAGTGGTTTTCAGTCATTTATTTCCATGATAATATACAAAAATAGAGGAGGAAATTTTTTAATCCTTTTCATTTTCTGGACTAAAATTCACATTCCCTAACTTAAGTGCAACATGGCTTCAATTTCTGCCACCTTTAACCACAAGCTATAAATGAATTTATTTTTGATGGCAACATGAAATTAAACTTAAGACCCTTCTTTTAGAGAAAAGAAACAGATGACTTTGAAGGAAAAGGTGTATTTTAGATTTAAGGAGTCAATATATAAAATATATTGCTTTAGTAAGCTGAATACTATCTAAGCACAACACCACTACTGAAAGGAATGAAAACAACCCTTCTTACGAATTGCAATTATAAAGTTGGACCATTCTAAATTTTAAATCCAGTTTAATGGACTTGACAATATCCACCATGTCTCACCATTTACTTTATTTCATAAACTATAATTTCCCTTTAGAGATTTCAAATGTAAAGGCATAGGACTATCGTAAAGCAAAACAGAAATACCACAATGGTTTTGTTCTAAGGTGGTCAGAGCATAATAGAGAGGAAGCTCTAGCTCATCAGCCTAAAATTTGATAGGCATTAAAACATCCCCACATTACTCTGGCTCTTCGCAGGAAGTAGCTTTGCTAATCTAAGTATTTTAGAAATGAGTTATGTGGTCCCCTTTAGGAAATATGAAAAGCCATTATTCAATCGCATAAAACCTCGATAGTATTCAGTAAAGACGTGAATGCACAGAACTGTATAGGATGGAAGAGACCGTGCTGCGAAAGTCAACGGGTTTTAATTTGCGGCGAGCAAAGGTGGAGAGAGATCTGAATTTATGCACATGCTAGAGGGAGGATGTAACAGCTAATTAATAAAGTGTACAGAGCCCCAGGGACAATGCTGTAGAAAGGACGGAGGCTGCAAAACAGAGAAGCGCACTCTAATTCAGTTCTTCACTGGGTCCGCATCCACTTCGGGAAACAGGCTCAGCTTTAGCCCAGTAAGCTAAACCTAAACTTACGCTGAGGGCGAGATGAGGGTCCTTGCAGGACCTCAGTCCAAATTCTGGTTCCCGGACCACTAAACAAAGTACCTTTTATCATATTTCGGTAGAGAGTCAATAGTTTTTTGATGAACATTAATGCACTTCGCTATGGTGTGATGAGCTAACGTACAGACACACCACGCTGGACAACTGACAATATATGTTCTGTCCTGGGAAAGCAATTCATTTGCCAATATGATAAATTTCCTTTATCGTCTTAATCAAACGAACATTATAGAACAGGGGGCCCGGGACTAATTTTGAAATCTGAGTTTCCAAAAAAGGTGCTTTTGGCTTTTATCGGGAAATAGAACTAATCGTCCAGGACAGCTGGAAGCTTACAGCGCTGGACCAAGAAAGGGTCGTACTTGTAGCCTTCTGATCACCTTAAGCAACCTTCCTCAGAAGACCAAGAGGGGAAAGTCCCCGTCTTGGTACCCGGAGACCGTTTTGCTTTTAACACCGCGGTCCCATGAAAAGAGATCCACGCAGAGACCTGGTGAGGGGCAGGCAACAAACTTCCTGCCGATGCCCTACGGAGGGATGCGAAGACATCCCTCTGAAACTCTTCCCGACTCCAGCTCCGGCCCCAGGAGCCCTAGTGAGGAAGCTGGAGCCCGAGCTCCCTCCGGGCGCGCAGAAAAGCCCGGGGTGGGGGTGGAGGAGCTGCAAAACCGTTAGCTCGCGTCCCCCCCCTCCCCTCCCTCTCTAAGGTTTCTTTTCTCTTCTCTTCCTGTCCAAATATTTCAAATTTCCGCGCCTTAAATAACAGTCTCCTTTTATTTAGTTAGTTTTCTCGGCAGGTTTGGCCGCCCGCTCCTCTCTGCGCCCCTCCAGGCCCGGAC